GAAAACCTGTCAGCCTAATTTTTGCTACTCAATACATACTTGGTGCCCCTTGTTTTATTGTTGTAAAACTTCTATCATTACTTTTGTAGGAGAAGGAGACATTTCCTCCTTTCCTCCAGGGTTCTTCTAGCTGGTTGAGGAATTAAATTGACGTGGGACAGATTAACAGGAGAAAAAAACCAAGGTTTTATTATGTGTGCATGGAGGTCCAGTAATGAAACTGAGACCCAAACAAATGACCAAGGCAGGCAGTTTTTATCCATTTTAGACAAAGAGAAAATAAATTAGTGAGGAATTGACAGGATAAAGAAAACAGAGGCTTGGGAGCTTTAACTGGTAAGGAATTCTAAGCAGAATTTGGGCTAAGGTAGTAGATGAGTAAAAAAGCGCTTGGGTGGCTCAGTCAGTTAAGCGTCTGCCTTCGGCTCAGGTCATGATCCCAGGGTCCTGGGATCGAGTCCTGCATTGGGCTCCCTGCTCGGCGGGGAGCCTGCTTCTCCCTCTCCTCCACTCTCGTGCTCTGTCTCACTATCTCTGTCTCTCTCTCTCTCTCAAATAAATAAAATATATTTTTTTTAAATGTAACAAGGTTTGTATAGTTTTCTTGTTTTAAAATTCCTATCTCTGGTGATAAGGATGCCTTTTTATTCCTTGGTACAGCAAGGGTACTTTTCATACAAAGATTTATTTCTTGCTTTCCAGTGGACACAGGAGGGTCTGAGTGTCCTTGCACCAGCTGGGCCCCAAGTAGCTTTAATACAAAATCATTAATATGCCGTTTTGGTACCTTTTGGGCATTTATACTTTTCCATGTTCTGTGTTCTCATGGCGGTATGTCTGGGTGTGGGTTTGTTTATATTTTCCTGTTTGGAGCTCTGTGTACTTCTCTCATTAGATGATGCTTCCATTCTGAAAAATAGCAATTCTTCATCTCTTTGAACAGTGCTTCTCTCTCTTCTGGAACTCTTTAAAATTACGTGGTACTTGATCAGCACTTAGCAGGGACTCTCAGAGCCTGGCTGCCGGTGGACTCTCCAGCCTCACCTCTCAGGTGCCCTTCAGCCTAGAGTCTTCTTTATATGGTTCATGCTCAGGCCCTCTCTTCTGTCAGAGGACCTTTATCAGGCCCTTTCCTGAGTGGCCTTCTGGAATCCTTCCTTTCCTACCATTTAACAGCTGCTCATCCTTCAGCGGGGTTTCACTGACTTTTCTGATGGGGCGTTTTTATTCCCCTCTTACAGTATCTCAGTCTGTCATTCAGAGCTCCTGGAAAAGTAGTACTTTTACACTTATTTGTTTGAGTATCTAATTCATGCCAGGTCCTTCCCCTAGATTCCCCGCTCCACAAGGACAGTGCAGTTGACCTTTAAAGTCCCCACGTTTGAACCCTGGTGGTCTACTTATGTGCAGATTTTTTTTCAATCAATGCAAGACCGTAAGGTACTTTCTCTTCCTTATGATTTCCTTGATAACATTTTCTTTGGTTTACTTTGTGGGAAGAGTACTACTCAGTATCTACGGCAGTAGATAACGCTTATAGCATACACAAGAGCTGTTAATCAACTCTTTGTTATCAGTGAGGCTTCCAAGTCAACAGTCGGCTATTAGTGGTTAAGTTTTCGGGGTCCAACAAATGCATATCTCTGACTGCACAGTAGAAACAGTACCCCTGAGCCTTGTGTTGTGCAAGGGTCAGCTGTATTTTTCTGTTTTAGTTTTTCATTCTGTTGTCATTAATAGGCAGGAAACAACAACGTGGAGACTAAAACCAGCCAGCAGCTGCAGAACTATATGAGAGGCCCCGACAATACTGATTCATCTCTGACTAGCAGCCTCCCTCCCTTCAGGGTGGACCAGCTTTCTCTCCTTCCCTGCAGATACTTAATGCGCTAGAAGGCTCAGGGTAAAGAGTCCAGGTTATATCGTGCACCGTAACTGTGAGCCTGGACTGTCCCCCTATCTCTCACATTCTTCCCACGTCCTCGCACTTTAATTTCTGAGATGTCTGGGCTAGAGCTGCTGAATGTGCCACCAGCTCTGGATCATTTCTGGATAAATCCCTTTTCCCCCATTTTATTCTAGAATAACTAAGCAGATGTGACTTTGAAAAGTAACAACTCCAAAACTCAAAGGAGAAAGAACATGCTTTTTGTTCACTCTTAAACTAAAGAAATAACCTTCAGTGTATTTATTTAGCAAGTATTTATTGAGCCCCTTTTGAGTGTCATTCACTACCTTAGGACTTTAGGTCACAGTAGTAAGAACAAACCTGGTCTCTGATCTTACTGAAATTAGAGTCTAGAGAGGAAAGACTATTCTGGGACTCCTACTGCTAACTAAACAATCAAAAAGTATGTGAATGCTTTGAGTGAAAGAAATAAAGTTCCTTGTGAATATTTAACAAATTCACATGACCCACATGGGAAACTGCAGTAGGACAGGGAAGGCTGACATCATGAGGGACTCCTGAGCTAAGATTTTAAGTCGACAAAGAGGGGAGGTCAGAGCATATCAAAAAGAAAAATTCATATGTGCAAATGTCCTATGGCAGGAAATAGACTGACAATTATGAGGGTCTTTAAGAAGACCCAGGAGATTTGAGAACAGAAAAGAAAAGGGAAATTTATTAGAGTTGAGGATGGAGAGTCATTTGAGGAGAGACAGTGATGTGCTGACTAGTACTGGCTAAAAAGGGCCAATTGTTCTATTTTCAGAAATTTTGTGTGTGCCAGCTGCTAAATAACCATTATTAAAACCAAAATATAGAATCACTGAACTCTACTTCTGAAACTAATAAGACACTATATGTTAATTGAATTTAAATAAAATAAAATTTAAAAATGTATCTATATATAAACTCATATTAAATAAATTACATTAAATACAAAGGCTTTCTAATTGTTCTTAGTAATTCTTAATTATTTCACTACATTTTACTATTATTTGTGCCCCTGAGTTTATTTTTGCCCATTCTGTTGGCCTGTAGAAGCATTTTCTACTCCTGTCAGTGACTATTTCCTCCCAACTTCACATGCAGTGATGTCACATTGACTAACTTGAAATTGATCACAGTGGGAATTTACACCAAAAAAAATTGGCAACCTTTTTCAAATCAAAACTCCCTTACACCTCTAAAAACCAGTTTTAAACATATATGAGCACAACACTGAGGGAAACTATACAAGACCTTGGAGATAGTATTAAGAATTTATCTTTATCACAGGAGAAATGAACAAGGCATTGAAAGGTTTTGAGCAGGGAGTTGAGGCCAAGAGCACATTTCTGTTTTAAAAAAATCACTGACACGACAGAATTGAAAGAGGGAGCAAGGTGACTTTGGGGGTCCCGTATGATAAATAGTGGTGACTCAGAGGAGGACCAAAGAAATGAAAATGCAGAGAAGTGGGTTTGATATATATTTAGGATCTAAAATAGAAGTCTGAGCTCTGGTGACAGTAGCAAGAAGCAATCACTTAAGACCCTCATGAGGAAGAAGTAGAATCTCTACATCCTCCCTACGTTCTGGATGCTTATGTTTTCATTTTGAGCCCAATTCTGCCACCATGTGTCAAAGAGCCAGCTTCACAGTCAACACACTTAGGCCTGAAGAAAGAGAGACACATCTGCCTATGGAAACGTGAAATGAAAAGACTGTATGTAAATAAACTATTTTAAAAGTGATCCATAACCTTTCCATCTTCATGTATGGGTAATTGGGCATTTATGGCAACCATGAGAATGGTCTCCAAGATCTCTTGGACCTTGAGGGAGGGTGAATGACCGTGTTCTGATATCCAGCAAATGCTGTGCTTCCTTCCTGCAAGCTGCCTCCAGACAATGCCTGAACAGGACAGAGACCCTCTGTCCCAGATTCCTTCCATCAGTGGCTCTAGCACCCTGACTCCTCGGTCCCATCCTCCTCCTTCACGTCCATTCTCCTTCACTTGGGTCGGACCTACATTACCGTCTGATGGTTCTGCCAGCCACGTTGGATTCCCTGCCTCTGCTTGGTGTCTGAGGCAGGTTTTGAGATGCTGTGAACTTGGATCCCTCCCCCAAGTGATGGCAGACATCTGCAGTGCAAGTTCTTTGGGGCCAAGAGAATTCTCTGCCCCTTTCCCCAAAGTCAGACAGCCGCTGCTTCTCCCCTTTCTCAGAAGCAGGGACAGTTGCCATTCCCTTAATGCTTAAGTGTTGGGTTTTATAAGGGATGAAGATCTGGGAAGTCACTGGGGTTTTATGCCTGTGTGCCCAGGGGGCAGGGGGACTCATTCATTCCATTCTCTGCCCTGCCCTCAGCCCCCCGCACGAGAGGCCCGTGGAACAGAGACATGAGTAAGGATTGACAGCGTTGTGTCTAGGCTCCTGGGGACTCTAAATTGTCACGATAGCACGTATTCCACCTTTAATTATTCATTAAGTTCTAGATGTTTCCTTTCCTTACTTTGGCAGAGGCTGTCAGTTCCCTACGGTTTGCCAGAGATGCAGCAGTCTATGTGTCCTTTCTATCCTCAGAGGAGACTTTTTCGCAGCTCAGTTCAGTGGGTGTCCTTGTGATTCTCAGTTCTCTGATCATCTCAAGAAAAGTTAGGGTTTTGCAGAGTATCTGGCTTTTCTCATTGTTCGTGTTCTCCTGTAGCTTTCACCAGGCTGAGCTGAGGGAAAGTCGCCGCCGCCTCTTGTTTTAAAAAATCAGTTGTGTTTCTGCATCAGGGTCCTATGTTTGGTGGGTTCAGCAGAGCCAGGAATAGAATGTATCTATAAATCGTGTATTATGTTCTAGGTACGTGAAATCATTAGGTTATCAGACAGTCGACACGCCTCTGGAGGCTGTTCTGTCAGTGCATTGAATGAAAACATTACCCAGCCACGGAATCGACCACGTAGTAGGAGTTAAGGCTCCCCGAGCAGAATTCCAGCTTGACCGGGAGACGTTGTTTCTCGTCTGTTTGAAAGCTTTGGGTCATTGCTCAACACAGTTACCTTGTCCTTTCCACCAGGTGGTTGACCAGATTGATACCCTGACCTCCGACCTGCAGCTGGAGGATGAGATGACCGACAGCTCCAAAACGGACACCCTGAATAGTAGCTCCAGCGGCACAACGGCCTCCAGCATCGAGAAGATCAAAGTGCAGGCCCACGCACCCCTCATCAAGCCCCCCGCACACCCGTCTGCTATCCTCACCGTCCTGAGAAAGCCAAACCCTCCGCCGCCTCCCCCGCGGTTGACCCCTGTGAAGTGTGAAGACCCCCGGAGAGGGGCGCCGACGGTCAATCCCGTGAAGACGAATGGCACCCTCCTGCGAAACGGAGGCTTCCCTGGGGCACCCAACAAAATTCCAAATGGAGACCTCTGCTGCATCCCCGCCAGTACCTTGGACAAGGCTCCCGGGCGGCCTCTGAAGCACAGACCTGAAAAAGACAGGTGCCCCCAGGCAGGGCCTCGGGAACGAGTTCGGTTTAATGAAAAAGTGCAGTACCATGGCTACTGTCCCGACTGTGACACCCGGTATAACATAAAAAACAGGGAGGTCCATTTACACGGCGAACCTGTCCACCCACCGGAAAAGCTTCCTCACCCAGGCCCCCCCCTCCCTCCTCCACCCCACCTCCCTCCTTTTCCACTGGAAAACGGGGGCCTGGGAATAAGCCACAGTCACAGTTTCCCCCCTCTCAGACCTGCAACTGTGCCTCCTCCCACTGCACCAAAACCACAGAAGACAATCTTGAGGAAATCAACCACAACAGTGCGATGTATGCCATTTCCAAAACCTTTTTGTTTTGTTGTTTTTTTATTTTAATTTCTATACTATAAACATAAAATAATAAGTAATGAGCACTTTCTACTCAAGCAATAAAAAGCCCAAATATATTAATCCTGCATTCAGCAAAGTGGCATAAAAACCACCTGGTAAGTATGCAGTATGTTGTTTATATCCCGGGTATACGGTGTTTAAACGGTTGCATCGTCGGAAACCACAGAACCATGAAAAAGCTGCGCTTATTGTTTCTTTCAACCGACCTATGATAAACGGTGACCTGTAGATTTCAAATGGTTTGATTTACTCTCAGAGATGGGATTAGTTTCATTTTATTCATGCCTAACTCATCTATGCATTAATAACATGTCATCCTCCTACCTTTGACCAGATGCTTTTTAGGAAGAAATTTTAATACCGAAGGACTATTTTATTATTTTTTCTAAAGATGTTTGTCACTAGTTTTACATTGTGAAATGCTGAGAACAATACCAAAAAGTTTTATTTTCTATACTATACAATTATGATTATACGTTCCGCTGTATCTGTAATGAAAGATTTTTGTCTGTGGAAATATCATATGTCAATAAACAACAGTACCTAATGGCAAAAGCACACGTTCCTCAGAGCAAAAACAAAGCAGTGGTTCATTGAATCCTGTGTTGATATTCATCAAAATGGGTAGCTACTCTGAAAGAGTTTGGAAAAGGTTACAGTGAGGATAGGGCAGCATTTTCTAGATTAAGTATCATTATCAGGTCATAAGTAGTACTTGCACATCTTCATATTATGTCTTGTGGTACCCCTAAGACCGCATGTTGAAGGTCTCATTGACCCAATACATGGCCAAGCCCTTTAGATCCTCCTCACACACAGCATCCCTCCCGGACACACCATAAACCAGGACACTGAAGCAGTGGGATGATTTGCCTCCTTCACCAGCAAGTTCTCTGCCTCCCCAAGGGAATTCCTATTTATAAGAGAATCATAGCGGAAAATAAAGATGCTTCTGGAATAGGATGTTTTTAGTATCAGCCTTAATGCTCTTTTCCCTCAGAGTTGAAATATGCCAGTGGTCTTTGTTATTTTATAGAAGGAAGAGAAGAAATCCTTTCCTCCTGACATCTTACAAAGGTCCTTCTCTTAAGGCTAACTTGCCAGCTTATGTCACTTACCCACCCATGGATCAAGTTCACTTCCCAACTACTGTGATTTGGACTGAGTGGATATTTTGCTCTGGAACTGGAAATGAGTTCATCTGTCCTAGAATCATGATGACAGGTGCATACCTGAACAAAAGTTGTCCTTTAAGTGGCAAGAGGAGAGGGAATTATCTGTGGTGAAAATTGGTTATAATAGCAGCTTAATAAAAAAATACTATAATTTTTTGAGCTATTTGGCTTTTGATCTCAAAACTTTAATTTTTGTTGCTACAGGGAGGTAGTCATTTCTCTGTTGCCTTTTTCAAGCCATATGATGGTAACCTGGAATACTGTTTTCCAACAACTTCCTATTAAAAGATGATAACATACAGAATGACAGAAAGAAAATAGGCATGACTTTTTGAAAGAACAATTAAATGAGTGAAAAAATAGAGGATGTCATGTTACAAATTTACTCAGCATGATTTTCGTTCCTGTGTGTGTTGGCCATGAAGATAATGCAAGCACAGTAAATCCCCCCCCTTTTTTTTTTCCCAGAAAGTTACAGAACGTAAGACCAATAATAAAGAAAAGCCATAATCTAAAATATATTAATCATGTGATAAGTATGTTTAATAAATCTGACCCAAGTAAACACAAAATTGACTTCCCAAATACAAAACTAATATATTCTTAACTTTTTCATGCCTTCATTTAGACTTGATATAAACAAACCCAAGCTTTCATCATTTTCTAGATTTTAGTAATTACTTTCTTTCAAATGTGCAGCCAGTGTTAGACCATATGGTATTATAAACAGTCTTTGAAGACACACAGCTTTCTCCCTTCAGCTCATCTTCCCTTTGCAGCCAGTTACCATGACCTAATAATTAGCTTCTCATTTGAAATTTTGACTCCTGTCAATGTCTGGGAGCCAGTCTGGATCTCAAGGTAAGAGCTTCCTAGCAACCACAAATCACTCACAGAGCAGGTAACTGCAAGGAAGTGGGTTGAATAAGCTGACTAATTCAAGCTGATGGAAGAAGGACATTGAGCCAGGTCCTTGGCCACAACCTAAGGGGCTCAAACTCATCTCTCTTTCTCGAAGTAGAGACAAAGGTACCCCGTGAACAACCGTCTTTTTAAGTGTGATTGTTGACTTGCCAAGATGGCAATACCAGTTCTCATTCAACACATTTACAAGCAACCTTTGGCCTAGAAGACCAAGTTAAAGCCCAGCCTGAAAGAGTTAAGAGGTATTGAACTTTTCTTATTACAGTTTATTAAATCAGGATTAAATGTTAGATTATATCAGTGTTGGGACTTTCTTTTGAGTATGTTTTTTTCTTACGTTATTTCATTTTTTTCTTCCATTAAGGTTTGGAATATATTGGGCCAATAGGGCTTGTTTTGCTTTGTTTTGTTTTTCCCCAATGGATCACTTGGAAACATTCCCCAGAACTTATGTCTTTAAATAGATATAAACTTGTAAAACAGGGAAAGCAACTAACACATCATAATAAACTTAAAAAGTGTCGTAAGTGGTCTTGCCATTTCTGTCATCAGCCAACATGGCTTTCAAAATTTAAATTCTCTAGTGTAGGCTCTGCACATCATCCATTAAATCATCATAAAACGTGGCAAATAGTTGCTCTTCCCGAAGATCCCAAAGCAGATATGCTTTCTGCAAACCCTTCAGGGCAGTTCTTTTTCCCAGTGTGCATTTGAAGACTTGTATTCCCACACAGACTGTGTACCCCTGAGTTAGCCTCCATCCTGTCTGGAAGGTAATGTTCCTACAAAATGTCCAAGGGTAATGCTGCTTACGGCAACATTCGTTCAGAGTGAAAGGTAGAACATGGGTTGTTGTTTTTTTTTTTTAAAGTAGCATCTATTAATTAAATTGGAAAAGGAAAGGGTTTCTCTTGCTAAACAATAATGATCTCATTTGGGGGATGGGAGGTTATTGTATCTCGTCTGCTGAAAGGCGAAAAGAAAATAAAAATTTACCAAAGTTCTCTTCCATCCCCCAGTAGTTACGGCAGTTATAGAAGGAGATAAAACTGATATTTTTTTAGGTCATGCTTAAGCTAAATTTAAAATATCTGCTCAAAAATACAGACATATAAAAAGAGAAATTTCCCACTCTTTCGATTTGTTATTATTATATTCATACCTTCCCTCATTAGCTTAACATTATTCTAGAAAAAAAAGTGAGTGGTATTAACTGAAGTGGTTTAATTAACCTAAAAATTTTTGTGTTTGAATTACGCCTGCATCTAATTATTTAATGAATAAAGGAATAGGGCACTGTATTATATGACTTTCTTTGGACAGATGAGTAGTTGCTTTTAGCATTACCAAGAGCGGCAGCTACACACCATCTCTGAAACTATGCGAGACCTTTTATCTACAGATTCTAATTATATAGTTCTTTTTGGATGCTCCATGAGGAAAAGCCTGAGTAGCTCCACGTGTATTTGCACTGGGAATGATGTAATCAAGTCTTTGAATCACTGTCTTGACTGAACTTTTTCCATGGAATATAGGCAATAATGCAGTGTCAAGTCTTCTAATTGTCCCAATTCAGTTTCTCCTGATTCACTGTTGGTAGCACATTTTGCTCTAATGTACACTTAAATTTGTAGCAGAAGATTGCCGTGTAATGTACTTTGGTACGTACTGAGGATTTCTAAGTGAGGAAATGATTTATGAGCAATAAAGTTGCATTAAAAACCCGCATCACGTAATTAGATAAAGTGCACAGAATCTGACAATTACTAGACGCTATCACCAAATCACATGACATTTTCTGAGTCAATCTGTAACTGTGACAGGGTATTTAAATGTTTAGTCTAAACATTTGGGAGTTTTAGAATCGTTCAAGTTGCCTGATTCTGAAATAATGGCAGATGTGGTACCCATTAGCTCACACAGTGGTGTTGAACATAAAACTGCAGTTAGCCACGTCATCCTGGAGCAGTAATTATGTAGGGTGTCATTTCTTGTGAAACCCTTGGATCTATCATTCTGGTCTTTTGGGGAAAAACTGAAGTGGAACATAAGGAAGCTCTGCAAATAACCCTCTCTGTAAAATGTAGTTAAATCAACATGGGGTATAGACTTGTGTAAGGACCACGGGAAAACAAGGAGGAAATACTGCTTATCATTTTGACTTCTAGATTGATCAAAGAGAGGTAAGCTAGTACTGTTTTCTGAAACTTTGCATACATTAGAGTTTCTCTAAGTTCTCCTATGAACGTATAAAACAGACGACATTACCCTGATCTACAAAAGAAGGAATCCAGGACCTCAGTTTCAGTATTTTGCCAAAATCAACCCCTTAGTAAGTGACTGAGCTGGCTTTTCATGCCAGGTTGACCCCCCATAATTTTCCCCCATAACATCACTATTAAATTATGTTCTTCATAGCCCTGAACTTTGCAAATCTTTCTTTTATTCTGAGCAGTTATTTTGACGCTTGAAAGGGGTTTACCTAATCTTATTTTGACATTCTTAATATGTTTGATCTTTGCAGAATATAAAAGGGATTTCAGGCAATTTAGGAACCATCTAAAATGAATGAGCTGCTGAATAATGCCAGCCTCATTTTTTGTGGATTATATCAGCAGCTTCACCTTTCAGGTTTTTTTTTCTGTAAGTTCAAAGGCTATTATTTTGGTTTCTTTGCCTAAGAGGTTCTGATTTCATAGTACTAATGCCATTTGACCCTGAATGTGTCACTTTCATTACTGGTATTTCATTTGTGAATTTCATCTATTTAATATTGACCCCTAAGCTAAAAATAGCAATTGATGCATTCTGGGGGAACCACCAGAGGACCAGTGCATTAGAGCTCTCTGTAATAAAAGACTTTACATCCTTTTGTTACTAGCCAATAGATACGATTTTCCACGGTTTGATAATGTAGTTGTCAATTCTTCTAACCACCAAAGGAAATTTTGGACCAGCTAAATAAAACAACCATGGGCCCTGGGGTGGTTTAGGGTTGATATTGACAAGATATGTGATATCTAACCCTTGTCAAGGACTTACTTTGTGCCAAACATTCTTCTATGTGTTTTGTATGTATTATTTTTCCCTCATTAACACCATTTTCCCTCGTAGCAACCCGGTATCTTAGACACTGTTGTTATCTACATTTTGCAAATGAAACTATGGCACCAGAGTGGGGCTGCCCAAGATGGTAGAGTCAAGAAGTGGCCAAGCCAGAATTGTAAGGTAGGCACTTAGCACCCATGGCCCAATTCTTCACCACCTTTCGGAACTGCCTGGAGCATAGCCCCTGCATTGTGCATGGGTCACCTGTCACTGGAACTAGTCTGAAGCTGTCAAAAGGTAGACCATGAGAAAGAAAAAGTGCATTCCTATATAAGCCAAGATAGTCTAGGCCATGCTGTGGGAGCAAACAAATTTAGTATCTCAGGGGGGCCTGAGTTATTTCTTGTTCACTCTTAAGTTCATCCTGAGTCCGGGAGACCCCGCAGGCAGTCCTTCAGCAATATGGGATGCACTGGTGTAGAACCACCAACCGGCCAACAGAGGACGGGGCTACTAGAGAGTCTTACCTGTGCGTTTACCTCAGCCCCTGTACACGTCGTTGGCCAAGTCCCCATATGCCTGAGAAAGGGAAGGAGATCTGCATATCCGTGGGTGCAAGTCACGCCTATCACCATTTCTAAGGGGTAATTTTTTGGTGTGTGTATAATTTGAATATATTATAGATTATTATAGACACCACCTTTCCTTTCCTTTTCATATTACTTGATGTTCATTTAATCTCAACATAAATTAGGATGACATCTGATTTTAAACAAAGATGGAGAGAAAAGAAGCGAACTTAACAACAGCCCTGCTAAAAATTTAGTGGAGGGAATTGACAACATTTACTAAGATGAGAGATAAGTTCTATTGCGGCCTTCAGCTACCATATTTACACTCTCTGAGGGTACTCATTACCTTACATTTTGTAGTTGGGCATTTTAGATCGCATACTGAATTTTCAGTAGTCAAATTTATCTTTTTTAGTAAATTAGGTTGCTATATGAATAATTATCCTTGTAAGAATAGATAAACCTAATTTGAAGACACTTAGTCATCCAGAATAGTCCAAAGAAATACAGAACTCTATTACAGAAATTTAGGTCATTGATGATGTAAATTATGACGTGTATTTATAATATTCATTTAGGTCACGGTGTATTAGGATAAAAATATAAACTTGAAAGTAGAAGGTATGGATTTGAGTCTCAATTTTCCCACTTCCCAAGTGGTCCAGGTCAAATTGCAAAACCGGGTCTGAGGCTTGCTTTCAAATGAAGATAATGGTGCCCCTCTTTTCTACCTCAGAGGGCTCTGGAATCATTATCCTCCTCCCTTTGTATATTCTGGGCTCACCCAATCTTGTTTTTACTTGTCAGGGGCAAGGACAGTAATATCAACAGGAGGATGCTGCCATTTGAGCACAAACCCCAAATGAACTTCTAAGACATCAGGACCATACGCTTAAGCTCTTTTGTAGGCAGCGAGGCTGAAAGGTAAAATAGACAAAGTCCCACAGACAGGCAACTTCAAGACGCAACAAGCTACTGGATAGGCAGAATCACCAAAGTATTCCACCTCATTCTTTGCATATGTCATTTATTTGTCCCAATTCCAACTCCTTCTTTTTTATTTAT